GTGCCGATTGTGCCGATTGCCGATTGAGCAAATTTGCAAATTTAAAATTATTGGGAATTCCATATTCTATTTTTCCTCATGATTATTTGTATAAATTCAGGCCCATTGCCAATGATTAACCATTATTTCCCAAGCAGCTGAGTAAGACAGGTAAAAATGGCAAACTATAAAATTATTCTGGTAAGCCTTTTTGTCAGTACCTCTGGCCTCATGATCGAAGATGTCAAGAACCAGGTTGCATTTGAGAAAGTTGGAGAGATGGCAAGTTCTACATCGTTTGCCCACCTGGGCTTCCGGCTCCATCTGCCGGAACTCTTCGATCGGTTGAACAAGGTGGCACTGATGTTGGAAACTACTGATTCAGCCGCCACCAGCCTGGACAATAGGACCGACGTTCCCCTAATCCGTCATGCCAGACATCATCTAAAAGAAGAGACGGTGAGGTTGAAGATGCTTATACACATGGCAACAAAGGAGGCTCAGCTAAAAGTTTATGAGTCAATCGAGGCTCAAGGAGGTTACAACTTCTCAAACATCTTTGAGTCCTCCACCCAATCAACCTCATCAATGGCAAAACCACAAAGGGATAGGGTCAAGAGATCAAGCCTCTTGGGAGTCGGAACTGTCCTGTCCTTTGGCTTGGGAGCATACAACTCGATCCAAATCCAACGGATCTCATCAGCCATCAAGAGGAATGATGCAAGAAACCATCTGGTGACAGAGATGCTGATGACAGAAGGAGCAAGGATCAACAGGCTCATCAATAGGATGAATTGGTTCAACAACGTCACTATAGAGCTGGCAAGCAGAATTGAAGAAATCGGATTGCTTGCCGTCCTACAGTCTACCAAGGAGGAACTGATGGAACTGTACATATTGTCCACTGAAATGGTACAAGACTACAGGTTAGGGATTGAGCACCTTGCCGAACATCGAGTCAGCCCAAACTTTCTCCAACCAGAATCAGTGGAACGAAGCTTCAACAACATCAGGAAGAAGGCAAAGATGTTGGGGATGCGGCCTCTA